AATGTTAGAGTTTATTTTTATTATTACTCTGTGTAAATGTTTATATTATATTTGACCAGGAGTGCCTGGTCACGTGTGTGTATTTTATTGTATATATAGTGTGCTTGGAAATAAAATGTGAGTTGAGTTGAGCTTTGGTGAGACTAGTGCTTTCACTTAGTTAGAGCTTGGAAAGCCCGCTACATTTTTGAAGAAGACCGCTGCGCTGACTATACCTCTGGGTGAAGAGTGAACATAGGAAAACCAGCCAAAAGAAGTTGGCGAACAACCTTTTTAGTTTTTTGAATAGCCTATATGTTAAACGAAATCTCCAACTACCTACATGCGAAATTTCATAATGATCGATTTTGTAGATTTTGCGCAACGTGATAACAAACATCGATTTTGAATATAATTTTTATAGATATATATATATAAGGAAAGGAAGGATTATTTTATTTAAAATTATAATTTCATAGATTCAAATACTCTGCTAAATTTGCATATTTTTTAGGCACCTTTCAGATATTTACACAGGAAATAACTAATCGGGGTAAAAATGGAAATTTTAAAAATAATAACATATTAAGAAATGAGATTAAATCAGAAAATATTGAAAGTATGATAATTTCAAATATGAGATAGAAATGTGAAGCTATAGGGCATTGTGGTTATTAAGGAAAATAATATATAGTGGAAATATGATAAACAATGTATAAGATTAGTTAATTAAAATATTGAAAATGTGATAAAATAGGTTAATTATTTTGTTGTTGTTTTCTTGGCCGACTGTTTTACATATAGAATTATAAAAAATAATATGGTGGAATGGTTAAACCTAATTGCAAATTTTAAAAAGTAAAATATGGAATGCGAGATATATTTTAGGTACAAATTATGCAAAGCAAAATAAAGCGTAAATGGATTAAAAGGTGTGGTGAAATTTAAAGGTCAAAATAACTATGGTGAAATTGATATATAAAAATAATATGACAAAAAGGATATATCTAAGCAAATATGCGATTGAAAACTATTTTAAATAACATAAAGTTAAAATGAGGAAAACTACGAAAAATGGTGGATACAAAGTACCTTGGGTTGGATGATTCCGGCCGGGAGATGTTTGGCGTTGAGCGGAAGATGTGATGGCTGGGGTGAAAGGGAGAAGGCTGCTTGAAAATTCTGGATATGGTAGGAGATGGAGATGTTTGATTGTAGAGGCTAGGTTTGCTTGTGGAGATGGCTTTGTATGCTTGTGGAGATGGCTATGTTTGCTTGTGGAGAAGGCCATGTTTGCTTGTGGAGATGGCTATGTTTGCTTGTGGTGGCTATTTTGTTTGAAGATTGGTATGTTTGATTAGAGAAGGTTATTTTTGATTGAGGAAGCTATTTTCGCTTGAATTGGTCAATGTTTGATTGGGGATGGCTATGTTCGCTTGAATTGGGCTATGTTTGATTGGGGATGGCTATGTTCGTTTAAGATGGATATGTTTGATTGAAGATTGATATTTTTGATTGTAGAGGGCTATTTATGATTAGACAAAGGTATGTTTGGTTAGAGATTACTATGATTAGAAAAGGTTATTTTTGCTTGAAGGTAGGCTATGTTTGATTTGCATAATTGAAAATGATCTATGTTTGGTTGTGAAGAGCTATGTTTGTATGGATTGGCCTATGTCTTGTTGAAGTGGGTTAATTTTGGTTGAAATAGTCTATTTTTGATTAGAAAAAGCTATTTTTGATTCGAGTATTTGCATATTTGAATTTGAAAAATTTTGCTTTTGACATTAAAAATAAATAAACAGGTAAATATCCTGTCGGCTTATATAATAAAAGAAGAATTGTTATAAAAAATATTTTGTGTTGTATTTTGATTATTCTTGAGGATTAAGCTATGTTAATTTAGCGAGACCAACATATGTAATCTCAAAATTTTACACAAATAAATTTACTGGCAATGCGTTTCTTTTTTTAAATCTCTACAGACCTTACTGCAATGATATGATTTAATGAATGAGAGGGCTTGGCTCATCAGTAGTGAACCCTCTCAGCGGTTTCGCCAAATTAATCTCTAGACCGCTCTACTATTGTATTGGACTGGTTTTGTTATATACCCTGCATTTTCTATGGAAGGCAGCTAAATGGTGTTTAGTGAACTATGGACATAAGCTTATAGGTCTGTAGAGGTACATACATATAAATTTCAAGGTATTGCATCGAGCAAAGCTCTTCCGCGCAAAACATGTTTTCATAACCATTTCATATATTAATAAATTAAATTTTATTGCCCTCTATCGTTAAAATTTTACACAAATAAATTTACTGGCAATGCGTTTCTTTTTTTAAATCTCTACAGACCTTACTGCAATGATATGATTTAATGAATGAGAGGGCTTGGCTCATCAGTAGTGAACCCTCTCAGCGGTTTCGCCAAATTAATCTCTAGACCGCTCTACTATTGTATTGGACTGGTTTTGTTATATACCCTGCATTTTCTATGGAAGGCAGCTAAATGTATGTATATGTATTTATATGTATGTACCTCTACAGACCTATAAGCTTATGTCCATAGTTCACTAAACACCATTTAGCTGCCTTCCATAGAAAATGCAGGGTATATAACAAAACCAGTCCAATACAATAGTAGAGCGGTCTAGAGATTAATTTGGCGAAACCGCTGAGAGGGTTCACTACTGATGAGCCAAGCCCTCTCATTCATTAAATCATATCATTGCAGTAAGGTCTGTAGAGATTTTAAAAAAAGAAACGCATTGCCAGTAAATTTATTTGTGTAAAATTTTAACGATAGAGGGCAATAAAATTTAATTTATATGTAATCTCAACTTTTGTTTTTGTCCACCTTTATTCTTTTTTCTTCAAAATGACCATTCTTTATTCTTACCATCACTTTTTTTAAATTTGTATATGTTCATTCCTTGTTATCACATTTTCCTTTTTGTTCATAATATTACCCTTTGCCTACTGTTTATTGCTTTTGACAAAACCGTTTTTCTTATAATTATCCAATGTGTCCACCTATCCTTTACTAATATAATTATTTTCATATTGTTTTCAATGTTCTTCATATTCTCATTTTAAACTTTTGTGATACCCATTATATTTTTCTTCATCATTAATAATATATGTGTACCATTTTCTCATGTCTCTTCCTATTTATTGGCTCACAAAAAGTCAATATGATCAAGGAATATCACCCTCTTTATTTCTTACTTTTTAATAATCATGCATTTTATTTTCCTTACTCATTCTTATTATGTGTCATTTTCTCATTTTCCAATCTATTGGTTCACAATAAGTCAATACGATTAATGGAACACTTTTTTTCTCTCTTTACATTTTTAATCTTTACCACATTTTCACTCTTTACATTTTTGTTATCATTATTCACAATATGCATTATTTTGTATTTTCCTGTCTATTGGTTACCATATTTAAAACCAATATGATAAGTGAATATCACCTCTCACCTTTCTTTCTAATCATTTTATCTTTTTTTTAAAGCTATATTTTTATAACTTTACTCTGAATTAACACCCATATTATTTTCTTCACAGGGGGGAAATATATATATATGAAAAACAATAGAAAAAATAAAAGATAAGTGGTTCAGGTGTTGATATTAAAAATAATAAAAAAAAAGGCATCCCCTGACCACGAGCACATGCGCTCTGCCATCTAAAAAGCACATGTGCTCGTGGTCAGGAGATGCCTTTTTTATTTTTAATATATATATATATATATATATATATATATATATATATAATTGAATGTCTGTCTGTATGTTTGTACTCTATAGATTCAAAAACCATACATCCAATCGCCGTGAAATTTTGGGATATTATTAAGTATATCCCCGTGAAGGTGTTTGAAAAATAATTTCTTGAATATCTTGAATATCCTTAGAATTATTTGCAGATTTGTAGATTTAACTCGCAAGCAGCGCCCCCATTGCGACGGAGATAGGCTTAGGTTTTGGCAGGAAGTCTGCTCCACGCCTTGTGTCTTTGAGGGCTATTAAAAATATGTTCACATTGTTAATTTAATATGTCATTGCTTTATAATAATGAATATGCAAATAAAATTGTTGTTGTTGTGGAAATATCTTTATTTACGAAGCTGCTAACCAGAATGAATGATTTTTGAGCCAACTGTTGTTTTTGTTTATTATCGAGAGAAAATAGAGGTAACCCGGGCTCCTGGAGCGTGAAACGCCAACTACCCGGGCTGTACAGCAGTCTAAAGGAGAAGTCTAGTCATGGGAGGGGGGGGGGCAGATTGCTGAGGTGAACCAGGTAACCAGGTAGTTCCAGGCCGGCAGGGAGTCGAGAAGTAGGGGCAGGGCTGTCGGGCTGAAGTCTTGTACATCAAGCAGAAGGGCTGTCTGTAGCCTGTGTAGCATAAAGGCTGGACAGGAGAAGAGGAGGTGATCCACAGTCTGTGACTCTTCCCGGCAGTGAGGACATGTTGGATCTAGATCTCTATGCCAGAGCGCTAGATCTGCCAGAACCGGCCGTGACCGGTAAGGATGGTAGTGGTGGCCATCCCAAGACGTATTTTGGACAGGAATGACCTAAGGCGGATTGGGGAGGTCGCAAATCTTTTTAGTTTTCTGTTATGATAATCTTGGGTGTAGACTAAGGTCCAAGCTTCCATAGCAGATGAGTGGGCACGGCTGCGGGCAAAGCTTTGGGGAAGGATGGAGTAGGAATGTTCCAGGTTAGAGATTGCTGCAGTCTTTGCTGCCTGGCCAGCCAGTTCATTGCCTGAAACTCCACTGTGGCCCTTTACCCAACAGAGGCTGACCTGAGTTGCTTGGTCTAGCGCTAGAATTATCTCCCCAATTAGAGCCGTTTGGGCAGGAACAGGAGTACATATAGCGGCCAGTTCAGATCTGTAGTCAGACGCTATAGTGACTCCTGGGTTGGCTGGCATACTTTCCGCGAGGCGAATTGCCCAAAGAATGGCAAGCAGTTCGGCTTGGAAAGCAGAACAATCCGGATGTAGTCTGAGGAGTATTGGTTGGTTCTCGTCCGATCACCGAAGTTAAGCAATGTCGGGCCCGGTCAGTACTTTTGGGAGGGTGTTTATTATCGTTTGTATATATAAAAAAATTAATTGTATGTGATGATGATGACAAAAATGAATTTTTAAATTAATATACATAATTCATTGAGAAAAAAAAAAGAAATAATTAATTATAAAATTCACAAACGTGACAATATCTTATTTTAAATTTAATAAAGGTTTTTAAAATAATTATGTTTCAGAAATATATTTAAACGCATATAACAATATTTATATTTATATAGTTTATAAATCTATATATAGGTGGATTGAATGTTTTCTAGAATGGTTTTAACAAATTTTCGTTAGTCAAACCTTTACTCGGGTAAAACCCGGGCGAAGCCGGGTACATCCGCTAGTATATCATAATATATACTCTTCCAGGAATAATAAAGCAAACCTACAGTTGACCCAGAGAGAGAGGGGCGGGTAAAGTCCGGTTACTTTAGATATCAGCGACATTCCAAGGGGCGACCACAGGGGCCGTTACTTGGAACCTCGAGACTATTAAGACAGTTGGGGATTGTGGGCGAGACGAACGGCCACCCGGCTGTTGCCGGGCCCGTCTCCCTCCCTCTCTCTCGAGTTGCCTGGGATTCCTCTTCCAAACTTGTGGTGTCCTTATTTCTCTTCCAACCTATTATTATATTGTCACATAAAAAGTCGACAGGATGAGACCTGGCCGGGAAACAATAGTAGAATATGAAGAAAACCAGAAGCAAAGCCATCGTGATTGGACAAACCTACAGCCAAGTTCCACAAGAATTTATAACCAACTCAACTGTGGCCACTCCTCTTCGAGTTCTCACCCTCTGTATCGGCCAACTTTTAAACCGTGATCCGGAAGAAGTGATCACCTACGACGGAGATGAACCTGCCACACACTTCTCCCAGCACTAGATCTGCCCAAGAAAGATCACCGCGCCAGAGCAGTCACCTTCCACCATCATGGACAAGACTCCGCCATATCCCTGCCGCTACTGTGGCCGCCACACTGGCACGTACAGCAGACAGAACCCTCCCTCAATGAACTCAATGAATCTACTACTCTCTAAACCAACATAACCTGTAAGTGAAATTGTTTTACCCCTACCCCTTATTCTTTAAAGAAGTCATTGCTTGTAAACTCTGATGCCAATATTTCCATAATTAGCTCCATTTATTCTCTCCACGCCTATTAACAATGATTTTATTATCCATACTATATATCTAGATATTTGTAATCCATTGAATTAGTTACCTTACCAATCTAATTTAATAATTGCATTTAAATGAAATAATTTCTATTTTAAAGTCACTCCTTAAAAAAAAGGAATTTTACCTATTCATACTTGATGATTTTTAAAATAACAATAGATTTTATAATCAATTTATCTATAAAAATAGTTTTCCACTACCTAACCATTTCTACCACTTTGTATATGACTTCTCCTAATTGTAAGCACGGCTCTGTTATGTTTGTTGAATTAATGACAAAGGCCAGTTTAAAGGTTATACGGTGAAGAAGGAAACATAGTTTATTTACTTTTAAAATATACGCGTGGTCTCATGCCACCACTCGAGATAGGCTTACTTCCTCTACCCCCGCGCATGCGCGGCGGCTACGTCGCGTCCGGTGACGTCACGGCATCACATCTTCCCCCTTTCTTGTAACACTTGGACCGTAGTCGCGAAGCGATGGGAGAACTGTCAGGAGATGGGGTAGACTCCTCCTGGCTGGCGTGGTCATCAAAATGTAGGGCAGGATGTATTTCCAGTTCATGTCTGGTGTCAGGACGGATGTAGGTCCCGGCACACTTCAGGTACAGTCTCAGTCTGCGGGCATTCCACACTTTACCGTCGGATAGCACAAATGTAAATGGTCGCAGTTGTTTGGTTATGGTGAACGGGCCCCTCAACTTGGAACGTCCTTTCATGACGGAATCACCCGCTTGGACTTCACCTGATCTCCAACTTGTAGTTTAGGACTACAGCTTTTACTTTCACTGTCGCTCTTGACTTCCTGACGGCAAGCTTCCTCAGGTGGTTTTGTTTTAACTTCCTTATCGAACACGTGCACCAAAGTTCTCAAAGTTCTTCCATGGAGCACTGCTGAAGGTGTTTGCTTCGTAACGGTGTGCGGTGTAGATCTGTATTCTCTCAAGAACAGTTGTATCGTTCTTTTAACCTCTGTATGCTGTAGGTGTGCTGTCAGGACCGTTGACTTTAGAGTTTTATTGAAGTTTTCCACTTCTCCGTTGCAAGCTGGGTGGTAGTTAGCAGTCCGTATATGCTTAATGCCATTGCTCCCCAGGAAGTCTTCAAACTCCTCGGAGATAAAGGCTGTTCCATTGTCGGTGACAATCTCACGTGGAAATCCCTCTCTAGAGAAAACATCTTCCAAAAAGTTTATTATCACTTTAGAGGTAGTCTTGTTCGTACAGAAAACTTCGGGCCATTTAGATGTGTAGTCAATTAGAGTTATAGCAAACCTGAATCCAATCTCGGTGTCAATGAAGGGTCCAACTATATCCAGGCCAAGTTTAGTCCAGGGATTTGCTGGCCTTTCAACAGGAGTTATGGGGACTCGAATAGACTTTAGTCTCTTGTCGTGGTTCTTACATACCCAGCAATTGGTTACCAAGTCTTCCACGTCTTTATCATCCCGGGCCACCAATAGCTTTCTTTTTACCTTTGCTTGGTTCTGACCATTCCTTGATGAGCTTTATGAGCAAAGGACAGCAATTTATTTCGGAGAGATACTGGCACTAGAAATTTTTCTTTTTCATTCAAGATCAGGTCTTCCTGAACTGAAAGATCCTTTCTTAATCTGAAGTACTTATTTAATTGTAAAAGATGCATTATTACTCCATGGTTTCATCAGTTGCTCTTTTAAGGCAATAATTTCAGGGCACAGTGAACATTCTCTCAGGAATTCCTCTTCACTGATAGCCAACACGTCCTGATTGAACGATGCAATTAGTTCAACTTCACCATCATAGTCCTCATGGGATGATAGTGATGATCTGGAGAGATAATCAGGTAATACGTTATCTCTTCCTTTTTTGTATTCGATGTTGTAATCAAAGTTCATGAGCCTTGCAGACCATCTTGTAATTCTCAGTCCTGCTCTATCGTTGCCATTAGTTGTAAGCAATGTCGTTAGAGAGGATTGATCCGTTCTCAAAGTGAACTTCAGACCCCAGACCTATCTTCTAAACTTTTCACAAGCCCACACACAAGCGAGGGCTTCTTTTTCAACGATTGAGTATTTCCTCTCAGCATCAGAAAGTGTTCTTGAGGCACACGCCACAATGCGCTCCTCTCCCTTTTCTGACAGCTGTGAGACTACGCATCCTATGCCGCTATGAGATGCATCAGTTGTAATGACCGTAGGTAATTTTGGACAAAATAGGGCAAGTACTTGTCCCTTTTTAAGAGAGTCCTTTACTGTTTGCAAAGCTTTTGCATGTTCTCCTCTCCACTTAAACGGAACACTTTTCTTAAGTAACTTTTGTAGAGGTTCCATAATTGTACTTTTGTTAGGGATATATTTCTGGAACCAGTCTATCATTCCGATTAAGGATCTAAGACCTAACTTATCTTTGGGAGGAGGGGCATCTAAGAGAGGTTTCATCAACTCCTCATCCAGATGAACTCCATTATCATCAATTATGTGCCCTAAAATTTTAAGGACTACTGCCTGTAAATTGACTTTGCGTCATTTAGCATAAGGTTGACTTCTCTAAGTCTAGACAGAACTTGATTTAACTTTTTATCATGGTCTTCCATACTGCTACCCCCAATTATTATATCATCGAGGTAACAACTTACACCTTTAATGTCCATCAGAAGTTCACTTAAATATCTTTGAAAAGCACCTGGTGCTGAGCTCAGGCCATAGGGCAACCTTTTAAACTAGTAAATCCCCATATGAGTAATAAAAGCAGTGAGGTACCTGCTATCAGGGTGAAGTCTTATCTGGTGGTATGCCTGGGATAGATTCAAGTTAGTAAAAACTTTACAACCGTGCAAGGATGATAGTATGTCCTCAATTAGTGGAATTGGGTAGGCATCCAATATCACAGCCTTGTTCGGTTCTCTTAGGTCAACGCAAAGCCTTATTGAGCCATCTTTCTTTTTGGAGACCACAATGGGTGAAATCCATTTAGATGTAACAATGGGTTCAATGATGTCCATTTTCACCAGGCGTTGAATTTCCTTGTGTACTTCATCTAAAAGGACTGGTGGCAGTCTCCTTAGTTTTTGTTGGACCGGCGGTACACTCGTATCAACAAAGATTTTGTACTCAATGTCCTTTGCGAAGGGTAAAGTTTCAAGAATCTTGCTACTTTCAGTGATTTGGTTGACTTTTCCATCCTTTATGGAAAGCCCGAGTTTATTAAATAACTCCATCCCAAAATAGGTGAGTCAGCTCTAACAACATGTAAGAGCGTATGTACAACAGTGTTACCATGCTTAATTTTAGCGGGAAGGTCACCAAGTACGTCAATAGCTTGCTGCGTATAGCTTTTTAGTGCTACCGAAGCTGGGTTTAATTCAATGTTTTCAAAGTATTTGGTGTACAAACTCTCTGGATTCAATGACACTGAGGATCCTGTGTCAACTAGGAACTTTATAAGAACATTACTTGTTCCACCATTAACATTCAAGTCCATTTCAAGCTTTGAAGGCTGATGAATTGGTTGGTTACATTGTGCCATTGTAATGTTCTTAACTGAAAACTTAGATAAACAATACTTTTTAAAATGCCCTACCTTCAGGCACTGGTGACACTTTACATCCTTAGCAGGACAATCAGGACTTGTAGCTTTATGCTTACCTCCACAGCGCAGACACTTGAAGTTTGTCGAGATCTTTTTGCGCTCCCGAAGATTAGGCTCATTGCGGCGATCATTAGCAGCGATCTTATTTATCCCTTCGGGCGTATTATCGAACATCTTGTTGTCCTCCTGGGCCTTCTCGTACTGAGTAGCAAGTTGCACCACTTGATCCAGGTTTAAGTCCGTAGTCTCCCCTAGAAGCTGATCCCGTA